TTTCTTTTCTTTTCTTTTCTTTCTCTCTCTCTCTTTCTTTCTTTCTTTTTCTTTCTTTCTTTCTTTCTTTCTTTCTTTTCTTTCTTTCTTTCTTTTTGGGACGGAATCTTGCTCTGCCTCCCAGGCTGGAGTGCAGTGGTGTGATCTTGGCTTACTACAATCTCTACCTCCTGGGTTCAAGTGATTCTTCTACTTCAGCCTCCCGAGTAGCTGGGATTCCAGGTGCATGCCACCACACCCAGCTAAGTTTTATATTTTCTGTAGAAACAGGGTTTCACCATGTTGGCCAGGCTGGTCTCGAACTCCTGACCTCGACCAGCACTTTTTAATGCAACGTTCTGGGACGCTATGAGGCTTCTCTATCTGTGTCGTCCAGCCTGGTAGCTCCCAGCCACATAGAGCAATAGCACTTGAAATGTGACCAGCACAACCGAGGAACTGAATTTTAGAAGTATTATCTTTAAATCATTTACATTTAAATATAATTATCACATGAGACTACTTGCGACCATATGGCACAGTGAAGTGCTAGACTCTACCCACTTAGGACTTGTGCTAGACCAGTGCTGTCCAACAGAACTGTTATGTGAACAACATATATCATATATTTTTTCTAGTAGTCACGCTAATATAGGAAAAAAGAAAGAGAGTGAAATGAATTTCAATAACATTTCATGATTGACTTCAAAATATTATCATTTCAACCTATAATCAATTAAAAAATTAATGAGATATTATACATTCCTTTTCTCATGCCAAGTCTTCAGCATTTGGTGTGCCTTTTATAATTATAACACATCTCAATTTAGACTGGCTGTATTTCAAGTGCTCAACAGCCACATGTAGCTAGTGGCTAACATACTGGACAACACGACACAGATATTAGCCAGCCTGAGGCTAACTTTTCCATCTAGAAAATGAGCATGCTTATAGCAACAAGAATCAAAAACACTCTTGTCTTTGACTCAGGTTGCTAAACAATGTTAAGCATAAACACCAAACTTGCCGTTATTTATTTTTACTAAAGTATACATAGCTATGCAAAATATTTGGTGTTTCCTTTCTAAAGATGCTTCTTGTTCTCTTGCTTTGAATTAAATTCACTAATTTCACCATGTCAATATTTACTGCTAATTATACAAGAACATCTACAACTTAAAGAAATGCAACGTGAGTGCGTATCATAGAATTCTTAAGCTCAGTGCCTGCTAATTTCCATATCAATAATTTCCATTAGCGTAATGGGACACAATAGAAGCTGCTCCTGGAATAAAAATGGGTAATGAAGAAAGCAATTATAGAGAATCATTTGGCAGCAAAGTAGATAACCAATAAGCCAATGACCTGATCAAAGGGTATTAGATACATTAAATGCAAAAGATGATCCTGAAGTGTCCATTAGCAGAAATTCTACAAATAAATTACCTAAAAATAATCAATACAGTCTGCTGACAAGGTAACCTATAATAGTGGATTCAGAGCAATTTCAAAAATGTGCGCTGCTCACACTTGAATGTCTTTTCTACTTTTGTGCTGCAAACCATACCTCCCCCAACCCCCACCTTAAGTTCCCTCTTTAAGGCTTTTTCTATATTAGTTTGTTGTTTCATTCTTACCACGTAGTAAGAAAAAAATGGAAAAAGGCAATCATGTGGGTTTTCTGTCTCTCCAGGACACACCTTGATGAAACATGATCAATATTTGCTGATGGCTTTGAAGACAAAATTATGATGTTCCAGCCTTTGCTCTTAAAGGTAGAAAGAGAGGAAGCTTGTGAGAAAGTAAGCATGGGGGTGTGTAATGGGGGGGCACCAGTTATAAAGATTGAATCGTTGCCTATGAAACTTGGACAGGAAATTTGTTTTGTCATGATTGTCCAGAATGTCAGCCTGGCTCCTCACTCGAAAAAGAGAAATGAAATACAATTCTTGTGTTCTTGTGCACTGCCAGACTGACCAGCATCATTCCTTCCACTTTACAACAGTTTATGTAGTTTGATTTTGTATGCCCCAGAAGTGTTTACACATTACAAAGTCAGCTGACTGGGAGAAGACAGGATAATGATCTTACTATTATATATTATTTAACTGGCATTAATTTTTCATTTACCTCTCTGGCAAGAGCAAGATTTTTCTTTGCTCATGAAAGCTATCAGGAGTGTGCTACATACGTGCTGTACTCAATTGTGAGAGGCTGGCCCGGCCGCCAACAAGCTTGATGCCAGGATACAGGCAGGAAACCCAGAAGCCTCTTTATGTCTCTTCTCTTTTCACCCTTCACAGTATGGCTGGAATGGAAGCAGAGGCCTCACATCTCCTGAAGACCTACTATGTACCAGGCACCACGCTAGGCACAGGAAGACAACATCTAATTTTATTAACATTTGTTTTCACAAAGGCATTGTTGGTGACTTTGAGCATAGAGAGGAGAAAAATCCTCTGCCCTTTCCAGTAGCAAAATTCTGTAATCCCAAGATTCTAGAAGAAAATGTTAGCAGGGCCCTTTGATATTTTTTGTTCATAAGGAAAGAAATTAATCTAGGGGTGGTGAGGTGGGGCTGTTGTTTGCTCCTCTCTAATGCTAAGGCAGTGGTAGTTCTCTTCCTAGGTGCCAGGATTAAGCTGCTTAAGATGAGGCTAGTAAAAGCCAGAAACATTATACTTTCCCAGCAGCAAATAATATTAGGTCTCAAGAGCTAGAAGTTCTAGAAAAGGGAAAGAGCCCTTTAGTTGCACATGTAAAAGCAAGTAAAATATCAATTATTTTTAAGAAAACTTGTGCAATAAATATTAATATAAAAGTTGTTGTTACAATAGGATATTTTAAAAAGTAAAACCATGACTCATACAAACCGAAAATGAACACATGTCAAATATTTTATTTAACTCATTAATTAATGAGGAAAACAGTAATACGTTATAACAGGTTCAAAGGAAATCAAAGAGTAGATATACATACGGG